ACAGTAGGCTGAGCTGCAGTAGAAGGATAGAAATACAAAGCGCAGACTAAAGAACCTACAGCAGAAGATACCTGGGTGAATGTTGTAACTAACACCGCTGAAACCTCAAATTATCTTCAGATTAACTTTACAGTAGAATCAGTTTCATTGCAAAGTAGGTTTTTACATATGTTACATGGTGAGCTGGTGCATTGCAGTAAACGCTGATGAGGAGAGAACTTTTAAAGGATAAAAACATTTTAAAAGAAAGCAAGTCAATGAACAACTGGTGTTCCAAGACAAACAAAGAGCAAACGGAGCAAATCCAGAGCGTTTTAGGTAATAAAGAAGGAAAAGAAATATTGACAATGTGCAAATGTGCAAATTATTTGCTTGCCTTATCGATGACTGTTGATTTTGTCAACCTCCACATGAATTGGAATTTTATTAGTCAGGTATCCTTCATTGCCAGTTTAATCAGAAGTAATGATTTTAGCAGCCAGTAATGCTTTCAGCGTACAATATACAACAGTAGTGAGTAAACCCCCAGTGCGGTATCACTTACTTTCTGGAGAGTTCTTGTTAAGAGGCTATTTTTTCAGCTGCTCTTTGTTGGAGGGGTTGTGTTGTTCTGCCTTTTTCTTTTAAAATACCCCAAAGCGTTCTACTGGATTCAAGTCAGGTCACATACTTGGCCAGTTTTTCTTCTTTACAAACTCTTTTGTAATTTTTGGCAGGGTGCTTTGGATCATGCTGAAATATTAATTTTCTGCCAAGCGTCTTGAGACTTGGAGTCGTCTTTCCAGCTAATAGTCATGTAGTACATCCACAGGCATTCGTGACACCATCTATGATGTCGTCTCCACCTTTTGCACTCATGCTGGCCCATATTATCACACTCTCACCAGTGTGCTTCATTGTTGGTACTGTGCATCAACTGTGGCCAAATATATCGGACCCCGTCTGAGGTGGACATATTAATCTGTACATCTGACCAAAGGATGTGCTCACAGTAGTCAGAAGGATTATTATCATGTTTTTCTTTCTTTCTTTTTTATAGCAAAGTTTTATCTTTCACTCTGTGGCAAAGAGCAAGCAAGGATTTATTTTTTTCTTTGTCGCTGCCCATAAATGTTGACATCATGCACTTTACCTCATACTGTGTGAACTGTCACGCAAACTCCCACTGATTACGCTGCCTCTGATTTTTCAGAGGTAGGCTGTGAAAGCAGAGGCATCATTTTGGAAGGAAAGGTGCTGCTGTTTTGATTAGTGGTATTGTCAGTCTTGTTTTTTTTACTTTCTGATTACTGCTACAGCTGCATTTCGACTGATTTTTAGGTGGCCCCAGATCTTCCTGTGTCCTTTTCTATCTTTTTTTAAATTCTTCTGGCAACTCTTTGCCATGTAGAGCCACGATGTCTGCACTGCATGCAGATAGAAAGAGCCCACAGGTATAAAACTGACTGGGTTTTAGCAGGTAATTTATATAATCATGGTTATGGAAATCACAGCTGTCCTCAATTTAGTTTCAATGATTACAGGTGAATATTTTCAAAATAGTCTTTCTAAAGTGTTCATTTTAGATTTTTCATAAGAGGAAATACTCTTCCTGTCAACTTAGAAATAAGGCAGTTACTAAGAGATGACGCAACTTTAAAACATTTAACTTCAAAGTGATATTTCACAGGAGCGCGCTCACTTCTGTTCTATGTCATACATACGGCCACGTGGATATTGTTACTTGAACAAAAGTCAAACCCATCAATGACAGGTGAGGTTACAGTTCAGGTCAAAGGTGATGGAAACGAACCCAGATCGTCAATGTGTGCCTGTACGCACTTGTAGCAGCTATTTGGTGATACGGTCTGTGTGAGGAAAAAGCTGATTTTTTTTTTTTTGTTTTGGCACCAAATCGATAGAGAAAATTAGCAGCAGTGTCATGTGGGTTTACTGTAACTGACAAACTTCATGGACTGCTTTCACTGTCTTAATTTGAAAAAAAACTAATAACACTTCTATTGTGTTGCCAAAACAAACTATTTTTTTTTTTCTGTTAAAGGCTTGAGCTCACGTCTGACTCATACCACCCCCCCGTCTCTTCTGTTTGCAGTGGCTTCGTGGTGTTGCTGCAGTTAGGCTCGAATGTGCATGGTGTATAAAACATGTAGTTTAGTATCCAGTGACAGAAAGTTTTGATTTTGAAAAACTTATTCTCCTGAGACTTTTTTTTTTTTTATCAGATAATAATCATATCACTGAATCTGGATTTTTCTACCTCTTGGTTTTTTCATCACCAGCTTCCTAGATTACTGCTATTTGTCTATGTGAAGGCTCACATTAATTCACCCTTTGGAGAAATACACTTTGATTGCTGTCTTTCCTTGACTTCATCATTAAATGCTACAGACCCCGACCTAAAAAAATAAAAAATAAAAGCATCATCCAGCATTCAAACGTGAAAACAACCACCGCTGATGAAGTACCTAGTGGCATTCTGCTGGCTTGGCCCGCTAATGGGACACTTACAGGCTTAGTCACTCGTTTTCCATCAGCAGAGATTTGCGAATTTGGTCTCATTGAAACAAGATGACCCAAGTTAACTCGACGAGAGCTGCCACTTCTGCTCCTCGACCACATTTCCACCATACGGTAAAACTGTTAAGGGTAGATCTCGCAGATTGCCTTCTAACCTCTTACAGCGGTTCAGCATGTCGCAGTATTTTAGTTGCACATTTCAAGTCATTGCTGTTTCACTGTGTGTGTGTGTGTGTGTGTGTGTGTGTGTGTTGGCAGCACCTCCCTCTAAAAGGTCAGACGGGGTGCTGCAGGTCAGTCCTGATGTGGTTTGCTCGTGTCAGTCTTGTGGTAGGAGGTGCAGTCACTCGGGAGCTCCGTTAAAGGGAGAAGCCTGTCTGAAATATAGTAAGTGGGCGCTCAGACTGGAAACAGCACCTGCATGGAAAAAAATAAAAGGCTATTGTTGGGGGCGTTTGTTTCAGGTACCATTGGAGACCATTCTTCAGGGACTACTTTATTCAGCTGCTTTTTGCTGGAGGCGTTGTGTTGCTCTACCTTCTCCTTTGAAATACCCCCAAAAGTCTTCTGTCGGGTTCAAGTCAGGTGACATACTTGGCCAAGTCATAGTTTTGCATTTTTTCTTCTTTAAATAGAGTTTTGCATTAGTTCAGACAGGGTGTCACATGGCCCCTCCTGTCCAATGGTCATCGCTAAAGTCCAGCCCACCCACTCAGCGTGCTTTATAACTGAGGCAACGTTCATTCATTCTGCCCGCTTCACGCTCACCACATCGCTGCTACTCCAGCCTCTGCGGATCGTCAAATCTCCTCCTCCTCCTCCCCAACCACCACCTTTTAGAAAACAGTTCAATCTCATACAACCCCAGTGTTTCCCATATCGTGGGACTGTAGGTTGCAGATGGTTCATTATTGTACCTTGAACTATGTAATCCAGATTCTGTAAGTGGAGACTATTTAGTTGGTCTCCTGTTCTCGTGTTCATGCCGTATTCGAAAAATTGTAAATTGTAAATTCGTGGCTCTGCGGGGGTTTGTGATCTCGGGGATTATCTGTGTCATGCTTGCTCAGATTGTTCCAGAGCATCACGAGCAGAGTCACCGCCAAACTAAATGTATGTGATCTCAGATAAATGGTTAAAATCTGACAAAGTGTCCTGTCTGAACTCTTGTGTAATTTCTTGCAGTGTGTTCTGGAGAATATTACCGTCTAGAAACGCCATCTCACCTTTTGCACTCATGCCGTCCCGTATCATGCCGCTCTGTGCTTCACTGTCGGGACCATCCGCTCACTGTGGCTGTCCTGGCCGTGATCATGCCAAATATACCGGACCCTATCTGAGCTAGACAAATCTATTTTGGTCGCATCTGATGTTTAAATGGGGTGCAGCAGGGCAGTCCTGGCTTGGTTTACTCATGTCAGTCCAATGGTAGGAGGTGCAGTCACTGGAGAGCTCTATTAAAGGGAGAAGCTTGTCTGAAATATAGCAAGTGGGCGCTCAGACTGGAAACAGTACCTGCATGAAAAAATGTTAGAGGCTGTTGTTGGGGGCGTTTGTTTCAGGTACCATTGAGACATGAGATATGATCCAGGGAATCCAGTTCTAGTAAGAGTTCCACAAGTTTAATACGTATGTATGTGCTGTGTACTGGAAAGTGATGGTAGAGCCATTTTTTGGGCTCTGAGGGTTATTTTAGACCTTTTGTTATGGTGATCACCAGGTAAACCGTGGAAACATGGCATTCACGTTGCAAAGTAATCGGCTAAGAATGTGCAGTTGGAAGTCTGTCAGTGGTAAAGACCGCTTCTTATTGGAGGATGTCAAAATGTTGAATCTGGTTCAGAATTTTTGCTGAAGCCCTCTGGGTTGGTATTCGGAGAGCGGTTTTTGAATTAGTGCTGAATTTGGCACAGACAGACTAGAGTTACACTGAGTTTTGTAATCAAAGACAGAGGCTAGTAAAAGTGAAGGCATGCTTGAAACATAGTAGTTTGTATGATGTGTCATCCAGTCATGAGGGAAATGCATTTATAGCTGCTCTGAACAGCCACAGTCAATGTGTCAGAGTAATAAGGCCAAGGTCAGTGGAAGGGGTGAGACTTGATAATGGTTCAAATGGAGATAATAGCACTTTCAGGCATTTTTTTTTCCTTGGAGGTATTTGTGTTGCTGCACTGGTTTGTACCCAAAGAAAGTGACTAAGTAGTTGTGTGAAGCATTCAAAAGGAGGGCATGAGAGAGAATCCTGCTTACTTTGTCACCTACACATACCCATCCAGCCTCCGGGTGAAATGTGTGTGTGAATGCTGGATTGTCAGCAAATCGTCCCACTAAATCCTGACACTGGAAAGGTGTGTGGGATCTCATCTGCTCGCTGTCTGCCAATAACAGCTTAATTCTTTAATTACTTCTCCTGTGTCCTTATGCTGTTAACATGGGTGATCTGTCTCATCCTCCTAATGCACATCTCTCCGCTCTCTTAGGACCGTCTTCGGTAATCAGCAACGATGACGACTCGGCCTCTCCTCTTCATCACGTCTCCAATGGAAGCAACACTCCTTCCTCCTCAGAGATGGGCCCCGACGCGGTGATCATCGGCATGACGAAGATCCCAGTGATAGAAAACCCGCAGTACTTCAGGAGTACCAACAGCCTGCTCAAGACCGACACGTGTAAGTAAAGAAAGTGCACAAATTGCCTTTAAAAAAAAAAACCATTTATTAGTCAATTATGAGCTTTACTCCAAAATATGCAAGTTAACAGTAGACGTGAGGCACCCAGAGGTTACCATGGCAACATATTTCCTTGCCGTCATGGCAGTGACCTTGGAGCCGCTGGTGATAAGCTGTCAATTCTGAGGGAAAAGTGGGAGAAAAAAAAAATCCATTTATATGCAAGTGTGTGTGTGTGTATGTGTGTGTGTGTGTGTATGTGTGTGTGCGCCCACCACAGCATATGGTGGCACGCATCCATTCATGAATTTGTGACTTCCATATGTGACAAATGCACATATATTACTCTAGCCTCAGGGAAAGATACCAGCGTTTGTGAACCCCTACAGGTTGAATAAGTATAGTATAAGTTTTAGTAAGTATTTTTTTGTGAGCCTCAACATATCTAAACAGTCAACAGTGAGACAAAAGGACAATAAGAATGTGGTCAACGAAAAGAGAAACAAAGAGAGAGCAACAGACAAACAGACGGACAGAGAGCACATGAGGATATTGACCTGGTCCATCAATATGACATTATGATTATTGGCAAGTAATAAAAGCCTCTCCAGGCCTCGGCCTTGTGTTGCAGTAAATTATGGAACCGCACGTGTGTGTATGTGTGTGTGTGTGCTCTTTTTGTTGAAAGCAAGGCTTAGGAGGTATAATAATGGGGGGCTGGGGGTTGACCTCTCTCAGCCCTGTGATATAACTAAAAGACTGACTCCGATTTACAGCCTAAAGACAAGAATGAAAGCGCCGAGGATCAATGAAAGTCAATAACGCACCGCTGTGTACGTGCATGCGCCGGCGCGTGCCTTTTTAATATATTACAGTCATTACAACTATTACCCCGTGTGCTTCTTTGACTTGCAGACAGGCAGCATAAATACTGAGAGTATCTGACCGATTATTTGGCTCTCTGCCTTTTCAGACTGATACAATAGCCTTTGATGGAGACAGTTTGGCAAAGTGGCACTGGGTTGCGTGCCAGGAACTGAACTCTTTTTAAATAGTGGCCTTAACCAGCTTGCGTCCTGTAATATTGAATGCAGGAATCAGTAGCGAGTACACGCTTCTTCTTAAATGATCACACAGGCCTGGCAGCGATAAAGCAACAATTACTCTGCAGAGACGACGGGTCCACGTGTGATTTGGGGGGGAAATGTTAGCCGTGTTGCAAGGCTGCAGTTGTGCAACGTTCTCCAGAAATGAAACACATAATTAACGGTAACACATCAGATGAGTCAGGTTTGTTGGAAATCATATGAAATGCATTAATAAGGAGCTACAGTGAAATAGGCAGATTTATGTCTCTCTAATCCCTCTTATACGCTCAGGCTGTTTGCTTGCACATAGCCAAGACTGTAGACATACTGATGTCATGAAGAATACCAGCGACCCCACCCAGCAGCGTCTGATGAACTTTTAATTCTTTGCACTTTTCATTCATTGAAATAGGAGAGAAAGTTTTATTAAAATGGAGCCGTTCTTCTGAGGAAATCATAAAAATCAGTAAGTTGTCATACACTAAATTCGAACTGAAAAGAGTTATATTTTATTTCCGAACATTAAATTTAATGCAGATTTTAAATAATGTTAACCTTAAAGAAATAATTGATTTAATACGTCTTTTCAGAAAATTATGCTTCGATGCTCTTTTCTTGCTGAGAAGTAGACGAGGAGGTAAATATGAGGCTGCAGCCAGTGAGGCTGACTTTGCATAAAGAAGTGAAACTAGGAGGAAACATAATCCACCTAGCAGCATATCAAAAACTGAATAATACATGTTAATACTAAAACCAAAATGATGGGTCTGGTTGATTGGAATTTATGTGTGTGACCAAGTCTTGGAAGAGTAAGACGTGAGAGCGATATCAATTCTTCCATTAACTATGGCGCAAAAGTGAATATTTTGTCAATCTATTCAATGTAGGACTTCAGTTTTAACATACTGAGCTTTATAAATGTCTAAGTTTTTCATGGTAGTGCCAAAACTCAGAGAGCAAACACAGAGGACTCAGCTTTTAGGTGAAATGGAGATTTTTTCCCATCATCATCTGTGTTATTGTACACCTTGTTCTTTGGCTTTGTGTTCGGCCGTCTCTCAATTCTTCCACTGCTTCAATCCCAGCACATCTTTTGGGGTTTGTATATGGTTTGTATCTAGGGAATGGGGATTAACGTTGTTCTGGAAAATGTTATTCACAAGTCAACACGTGTGTACAAGTATTTGAAAAACACCCATACAGATATACACAAACACAGACGTAAGCTGACACGCTTATGGAAATTTAGGTCACAATTAGCTACGCCTCATGATAGGAGGGCAAATAGTCGGGAGCGGTGGCCGAGCGGAAAGAGGCAGGAGTGAAAAACAAGAGGGAAAAAAATCAGAGTCACGACATTGATTGCATGAGGAATTTGACGGAGAAAAGGTTTGACGTTTCTGGCTGTCCTCTTCTCAAAGCATCTGTCAAACATGATTGTGTCTTTGACCCATCGCATTGCTCGGTTCAAACTACCAAGCGCACAATTTCCAAGCTGTTCAAGCTGTTTTATGTCTGCACGCGGAGTCATGGAAAGATTTTCGGGCAGATGAGAGACGGAGCAATGGAAGAAGAGGCAGATGGCAAACGGGGAATAATTATGTCCCGAGACATTAATTTCTTTTGGTTGTTTATAAGATGCTGATTAAGGAGGATAGGTGTGAGAGAGGAATCTATAGGGAGATGTGGAGAGGTTGCAGGAAAAAAAAAAAGGGGGGGGGCTGAGGAAGACGTGGTTGATGGAAAATATTATTCCTCCTGGTGTTAATGTTGTAAGCAATTGATGTGGGGGAAAAAAAGACTAATGGAGCAACAAAGTGGAGGAAGAACCTGTGTCTAGATTTTAATGTTCAGAGGATGTTGATTAAAAACTGATAGGTTTAGCAGCTGAGGGGGAGAAATAAATGATGGTACAGTGGGACGCTAAATAAGGAAAGTGAGAGTAAGATAATGAGAATGGATGGAGGGAGGCTAAATGAGGGAAAATGAGTGAATATGATAAGCACAGAAAACGGGTACTAATTAGGAAAAACATCAGAGAATAAGTGTGTAAAGTTTGGTAAATGGGGAATTATATTTCAGTAGATCTTAATTAAGGATACTGATTGAGGAGAAGGAGGGTGATGTGTAGCACCGCACATCGAGATACAGTTTAATAACGACAGCAAGGTGGAAGAGGGAGCGTGAAGTTGGCAAAGGCAGACAGCTGGAAAGCTGGATTCATGACTGATGTACGGTCATAAAATAACATGATTTTCAAAGTTCTCTGATTGCTGTGTGCAGCAATTACGGCGGATTCTTGAATATATGATTGCAAAATAGTTGCAACGAGGCATTAGACGTCTAACAAAAAAGACATAGAAAAAAAAACAGCAGGAAATGCTGCGACAAGCACCAAATCTTCCTGCCAAAGGAACAAAAAGCAATAGAGGAAGCATTGGTCTGCACACATCAATTTATTTGCTATTTGAGGGTGTTAATTAAGGAGAAGTGGTGCGAGGCGTTTTCATGGGCGAATGCTTATTATACAACCGCAGTAGGAAATGGTGCAGTGAGGTAATTAGCTGGTTAAATGGTGGGTAGCTGTCTTGTGGGGATGTGGGTTTATTGTGTGCTGCTGTTGCGTAGGGAATTGTGGTGATCTGTGACCTGCTACTGCTGTTTGTGGGATGAAGACTTAATGCTAGCAGGATTAGAAAATAAATAATGTAATTAATAAACACTCTTGACTTGTGGCCACGCGGACGCCTCTACGCTGGGCGCTCAACTTGCCTCCTTTAGACATTATGTTTATCCGCCACTGATTTGCATCAGCAAAAAGAAATATAATGACACTTGAATTATCATTTTATAATGAGTAAACATTTTAATGACGGCATCTTCTAAAATTAAAATGTTCATATGCTAAACATATATGCAAATTGCCAATTTATTGGATTTGTTTTTCCCACACTGTCTCCTGGTGGAATACAGTATACACGTGTTGCCCTGTAAGGCTTAGGCCCTCAAGAGAAAGCTTGTCATTGTGCTTTTTGCTGTTAAACCATAAAACATGACGCAAACTACAATCTGCTGTATTAGTGGACACTCACCATCCACCATGAACACCACTGGAAGACTTTTCTTGTGGAGAAAAAATGCTGCATTGATTTTTTAGCCCAAAATGTATTTGGCTAAGTGAATACGTTGTGTACTGTACCATACATATTGCATGGTTGGTACTCGACTGGGTTCAAACTATACAAAAATGGCCCAGTGCCATTTTATTCTACCTGGAACGCTGTTGGATATTCCAACTAAATAACTAGCATGTCGATATTTATTGTCTCCCACCGTGTGACATCTACATGTCTGAGATAGCAAAGTCAAAAAGAGGCTACAAAGGACAAACAACCCATCGTGTCCTCTTCATGCCACCGATGGACTGGTCTACAGCCATTCTTTCTTTCAGTATCGGTCACAGCAGTGTTTGTTTCTCGGCCAAGGCAAAAGCTGAGCTGTTTTCTGTCTTGTTTGTTTTTTTGTCTGCCAGAAGGATTATCCTAAAACTACCAAAGTGAATTTCATGAAACTTGGTGGAACATAGGAACAGGAAGAACCTGTCAAATTATGGTGTGGATCACATTATTTAAAACTGCAAGATATGGCATTGCCCTCCTCCTTGTTTACAGTCGGGTTTCCCGTAGTTGTTCTCTGGCACCTCCTTCCCAGTGACATTGCACAGTTTGTGAAGGACAGAGAGCTCTGACTGGTCAGCGACATTGTGTAGTTCATTATGTCAGCCAAAAGAATCTGTCTTCATAATCACCTAATCTGGCACAGTCAACAGCTTATCAGAGAAATATATTGTGCCGTTTTTAACCCAGCGTTAGATGCTTTTGAATATCTGATGCGGACCAGCTGTGTTTGTCTCTATCTGCGTCTGTCTCTCTGTCTGCCTGTACAATATTGGGTTATGGTGGACTTCAGTAGCTCGCAGTGTAGATCGATGCTGCTTCTTCTGAGAGTCTAGCTGGGCTTTAATGTGATATTCTGAGTGGACAGCTTTTCTTCAAATGCACCTCTTAATCACATCACACATAAATCTCAGCTCTTGGTGTCCTCTTTGTGTGTGTGTGTGTGTGTTTGTACTCCACCAAAGTGCATGTATTACGGGCTGATGTGTGTTTCCATGCATGCAGACAGTTGCACATCTGGCCCACAGTCAAAAGACGGGGCTTAACTAGGTTATAGTAAGGGCACCATGCTGTTAATCATTCTGTAGAATAAAATCTTGTATCATAACCACGGTGAGGTGCCAAATTTTCTAGAGATCAGCTGGCATGGAGTCACGAGTTACTTAGCAACAGAGAGCAGGGTTGTCGACTCTGATCCAACTGTGGGTGAGCAGAAGGCAGGAGGAGATTATGGACATGAAAAAAAAAGCAGAGAGACACATATTTAAAATTTACATTACAGTCAAAACTGAATCAAGTTAGTGCACGACAAAAACTGTGAATTTGCTTATTTGCATAAGCAAAGCGTGTATATGATGTTTAAAGGCAACATAAAGCAGTTATGCAGCTGAAAATAAAACATCCTCAAACATCCAGCGTTGAATAATGATCTTCCCTCGGACAATTTTTGTTTCAAAGTAAAGCTGACTGAGATAATGTGCCCTGAAGAAGATGACTATACCTGTGTGTGTGTGTGTGTGTGTGTGTGTGTGTGTGTGTGCTGTGACAGAGACACTTTAACATCTTTTTCAATTTAGAAAAATAGCCCCGAATTGCTCGGTAGCTTTAGAATGCCTTGCTGCAGCTTTTGTCTAAACAGGGAGTCAAATCACCCGCAACACACACAGCCTGCGATTAGCAGCATTCATTTGTTGTGTGATTAAAGGTCCTAATAAAATACTGGCAGGTTTCGGGAAAATAATCCTGTGGTAGACAGGGGAATAACGACCGGGTGTTTCAGAGGAAATGAATAAATAAATTAAGTATTTTGGCAAAGCCTGGGTACCTGTGGATTAAAGCACTGGGTAACAACACTGGACTAGTGTCAACAAGGCTGTTCTTACCGTGTAGTTAAAGGCTAATAAGAGGAGAAGAGCCACACATTATATTACAGCCCTCATTCCTTATCATTACCGTGTAATGAACAATGCACATTGTAGCTTTACTCATTAACAGACATTATTGTGATGTGTAGGAGAAAATACAATATAAAAGAGGGGGAAGTTAATTACAACCACACTCCAGGGATTTATTATCACGTCTCCTTGTGTGATATGGAAAAGGAACAAGGAGAGAAATGGGAATGTACTTTTTGTCCTGCACTGCAGCAGCTTATAATGAATATTCTGCAGTGGGAAGTAAATGTACCTCCTCAAAAGGTTTCCATTGTCATCCAAGAAGGACAATCTCCAATATAGCAAAGTCATGTAATAACGTAATGTATAGATAAAGGCTGGATCATGCAGAGCCAACTGTTTGTATTCAATAAGATACCCAGCAATTATTATTTAATGCTTTAAACTAAACTCTAAGACAAATGTATGTTGGCCGTTCTCCCATTTTTCCTCTTCAGTTACACATTAAAGTGCACCAGCTGGATCTGCTCACTATTTTATTGGTGCACCTGATTCATACAGCAACATGACATGATCAGCTAAGTTAAAAATGTTACCCAATTTACAATCGAACTAATCTAATTATTATCTTTTGTCTTGCTTTGGCCAAATCACACATCAAAAGCCACATGATTAGAACTGATTATGTACAAAAATAACAACTAACAGCCAAACTCCACTGGACATAATGTCACAGCATCAGGGATCTTTTAGGTATTTACGCGACAGTGTTTCTGTATTTTGTGACCTCGTGTCATCTGCAGTGTTTCTAAACCATAATGGCCAAAATTAAACTGCTTTTCTTCTCTATCTGTCCTTGTCCCACAGTCGTCCAGCATATTAAGAGACACAACATCGTGCTGAAGAGAGAGCTGGGAGAGGGCGCCTTTGGAAAGGTCTTCCTGGCTGAGTGTTACAACCTCTCACCTGACCAGGAGAAGATCCTGGTGGCTGTCAAGGTAATCTGGAAAGTTTTATTTTGTACATTTCAGACACAAAGAAATCAACAAACATCTCTGCACATACTCTCTTCATAGCAAAGTGATGATTAAAATCAGGAAAACAAATAGAAGTTTTTGGTTATTGCTCTAACTATGTGTATTTTCAGGCTGTTTCGTGTTGTTGTTGTTCGTATACGTGATGCCTGTGTGACTGATTGTGGGGAGACATCAGCGTCCGTTCATATTTATAGCTCTGGTAAACCAAGGTCCAAACTTAGAAGGGCAGAATCTTTTCGTAGAAGAAATTCAAAATAACATCCTGTCTCCATTAAAAAGAACATTTTTCAATTCATGAGGAGTCGCGTTTCAAAATGAGATATTTCTGAAAATCCCCGGTGCTGCAGGATGATTGATGGCATCAAAATAAAGTCCTCATTGTTATTATTAAAGGCGAAGTTATTGCCTTCCCCGCAATATTTTGCAATGAGATCAGATACCTGAAATACATCCAAAATATCGAACAGTTCACGGCAGATAATCTCATGTTCCCAAAATGGATACGTGGCATTTTGAAATGCCATCCTTCATATGGCGTCCGTACAGTGTTTACGACCCGCGTCCGTCCCTAAGTTTCCCCTCCAATTGTTAGAACTTCATTCCTTTTGTGGGTTTCTCTGTAAGAAAAAGGTGGAATTACACTCAGAAACCGCCGGCTTCCGGGGTTACATTGAACGGTTTCCCAGGGAGCATCCTCCCATCACAACTATCTGTCCATCAATCTCTCCGTCGAGGCTGCTCTCTCTGCTGCTGGTCTGCAGTGAAACAGGATATGAATGGTGAAGAACTTCTCATTAACAATACATGACTTGTGAAAGACCCCCCTTCTCGCTCTGTCCTCCTCTACCCCCCTCACTTCCTCTGTCTTCCACACCTCCAGCTCTCACCTGCAGTGCTTTTCCTCTCTCTCTCTGTCTTCATCCTGACACTTTCCTCCTCTCAAATCCTCCACCTCCCTTTCTCTTCCTGTTTGCCTCCAGTTTAGCTGCTAAAGCGCCTGCTGATGTCTGCTGCCAGCTTAGCTTCAGCTCAGACTGAGCGCTCTTGCAAAATATGCACCTGAAAATCCAGGAAAGCAGAGTTCTTGGTTGTAGAACAAGCTGCTGTATGTTGCTGACTGCATGTCAAATCTGGCAAAACATTATATAATCTGCTCTGAACTCAAACTAAAGTTGTGTTTCTCAAACTGCCATAGGTGCGCTTGTCGATACGGGAGAATCAGCTAGTCAGGAGGTTCTCTATTGATTTGACTCTCTCAATTCATCAGATTTTTCTTTAATTAGCTAATGTACAACCTGCTTACAGCACATTATGCTCATCCTGCTGCCTACTTGTTGCTGCATCAACAAAAAGAGGGTCTGATGAAGGCTGATGGAAACGGATTTTTCAAATAAATTATGACTTTAAAAGGCCCGATTACAAAACAAGTTCTAATCCAGAGTAACCCAGAAACTACTTCTAAAAGGAGATGATTTTGTTGTTCTGTGCTGGTAGCATCACATACTAAAATCCCATTCATCTCCACTGTACTGCTGCTGCTGCAGGAATCTAAGCGACAGATTTCTCAAAATTTACCTCCAACCAAAGCTTACATCACGATGTTTGAGGACATGAAACACAGTGAAATCAGCGTTTTCCCCAGGTGTGGCTTTCGTCTTTGTTATACAGATAAAGCACCACTTGGTCTATTCAGAATGTGTGTTTGTCCAAAACGTTGTCATGGAAACAAAGGGCCCTAACGTCACCTCAGGACGTCACATCCAGGCTGGCTTCTCCTGCAGTAGTTTCTGTAACTCGTTTCAGTGTGCATCTAAGGTCTACTGTCCGAAGCCAAAATTGACAGCATGGCTACAGTAATACTATAATGAGAAATGATGGCTTTTTAATGTATGTGTGTGGATGTACGGGACCTTTTCTGACACCTTTTATTATGAACAGGGCACATATTTATGAATAAAGTATCATAAATGCCATATTACGGTATGTAGGAGACTAAAATGATAAAACAATTCTATGAAAATGAAGCCACTGAAGCGCTTCATTACATGATCCTGTTAAACACTAATTTACATTTTGTGTATGAAATTTCACTTTAAACTTATTTGACATGTTCTTATCATTATTAATAATGTACATTAAGCAGCTCCAGGATTTGTCAGCGCCAACGTATCTCCGCTGTTCAGCCTAAAGGGACCTGTCAGGCGGAAAATAGCACGTAATTTGATGTATGTATTTCTTTTAAACATACTATATTGTACTTACATTGTGCTCTGTCATGCGTGCGACATTACAGGAACATGTTCTCAGTTGTATACCGCATTACAATAAGCTACACTCACTAATAGAGCTTAATGGTCCTGGTTTTAGACTCGGCTATCAATCAGCCAGTCATCCATAATACAGGAGCAAGTTTTACCGTTACTGTATATTAAACACTGAGGTGCCATCGATCACAGCCACACTGTAACAAGCGCACACACACACACACACACACACATAAGAATATGAATATGCACATGCGGACCGGCACGCTCATACAAACACATTTACAATCTGGCATCCCATCAATCACGAGCGCCAAGCACTTTCAATAATGTTGCCTTCACACATGTAAATGAGTCACTACAGTCCCGAGCTAGGGGTTGTTGATTGCTTTTTATTTGTCCAAGGACCTGAGCGCGCTCACGCTGGATGACTAACAGCGTAATATTATGGGCTTTTGGCCGGGGAATTCATGCAGCTTTGAGTTCAGCGAGTCAGACCGTGATAGTTCCTTTGCAGAAGTTTCTGGCTCACAGGGAAGTCTCTGTTGCAACTTTCCCAAATTCAAATTTAATGTGGTTTGCTCAATACGATGATTAATATTTGTTGTGCTAGTCATTTGATACATTGAACAGCTTGCTGACTGAGCTCAGAGGAGCAGAGAATAAGAAAGTTTTTTTTCTTTCTTTAAGCAAATTTAATTTTCCAGATTTGCCTCACCAAGAGCACACAGTGATTCTTAGTAGGCCACAGAGGATTATGTGAAACTGTGTGTACATCTTGTGTCACAAGACTAATTTTAGAAGAATATTCTGATAATAAAATGAATATCAAATGAAATTATCAATTAATGCAATTAAAACCTCAAGTTTTATAAGTTGGAAATGCTCCATCCATAGTTATTAAATCATTTACTCATGCTTCACAACAAGTTAAATGCCATTATTAGAACAATATCTGGGTTGCCAGGTTGTGTCTGGTATTTATCCTCCTCCAGTATCACACTTTCTGCCTCTTATCACTTTGTGCTGGCTTCTTAGACACTGAAAAGCCCCAAGGAGTTTCTTGGCACTTTTTACTCCTGTTACATTTTTAGCCACTGTGGGCTCATTTTTCTGTCCAGTATAAAGTCCTGCACCTCCACTGAAGTAGCAGAATCATGGTGCGACACACTTAAAATGCCAGTAATCAACAAAAGACTAAACTGAAGTTGAATTACTTTGTTTTACTAAAATAGGAAAAAATCTGGATCAGTATGTACAACGTGTTTCTGAGTGACGCAGGTGCTACCAGTATGTGGCTTTGCTTTACATACAACAACAATTTGACTCGTTACAGTTTTCATTTGTTGTCATGTTTGTCTTCTCTCTGCTCCACGTAAACACAGCCTGCAGTTCAGTCCAGCTCCGTCTTAAAGTCCTTGAATTTTTTGTCTCTTAACTGTTGGTCACAGTTCAGTCACTAATGGCCACTCGATTGCACCGAGGAGTGCAGAAGTTTTAGTTTTATACTGAATCTGATAAGAAGAAACTTTTTACTTTGCTTAATGCTTAATGAGGCTTTTAGAATGAAGTGATTTTGATGAATTGTCTGGATTTTAAAGCTTAGATTTGGTTATTTTCAGATGGTACCACATGTCACATGATTAGTTCAAGGACTGGACGGTGAAAAATCCAACAATTCTTTCTGTGTTTACAGCTTCTGGCTCTGATGAATGGTGTCATTTTTTGAGATTTTTTAAAAAAGATAATGGGTGTCCATCATGTTTGGGTGCATAATTTTGAAATACAGGTTAAAAAACAATACATAAAAATCAGATTTTTTTCACATCATAGCAACCCAGAAAATTACAATCATTTCTAATCGTTATTTAAATCCAATAATCACAAAAAAATTAAAATTAAACAGATGAACTGAAGCTAAAAGGACTTCTGAAGACAGGTTCACTGACAAAATATGAAAACTCAGCAGAGGGAAGTCAGCTCATTCAGCTAACTCACATTTCCCATACATGTTTGATATCACGTTACAGACTGAGATGGGAACATAGGCTTTCATATTCTATACCGTAATAATCCGGCACATCATCCTCATGCGGGATCAGGTTACAGCCTGTAATGTACATGACCAAGCCCCTGTTTTATGGAATGTGATTGGTCGAATCTCGATGGGTGGTGTTGTTGCGTTCTGTCTCATTTTCTGGCATCTCAGCATCCTGGATTAAAGGTCGCAGGTCATTTCCTTCTTCCTGAACTTTCTCCGTGACTTCTCCTCGTCCTTTAGATCTGGATTTGTAATAAGAGCTTTTATCTGCATTGTTACTATAGCACACAGACGGGCAAACACACACACACACGGTGGACAGCTCACGTATATCCATGTCATATACTGTAGGAGGACAATCAATTATTCATGTAGGACAAGTGGAATTTTCTATATTTTTCTTCTTTAGATGTGAAATTAATACAGAAGCCATATCACTTTCATTTCCTGCAACTCTCTCTCGCTCTATCTGTCTTCCACACACACACACTCTTTGTTCTGTCTCTGTCATAGATGCTTGTATTACACAACTTCCCTGACAGATTTCCTGATTCATGGAAGGGAGACAAAGATTAGTTTCAAAGGGAACCAGGGAATATAATGAATGTAAACACTGCTGTACTTTGTAATGGCTTACATTAATATAAAATGTCTTTTTTCTTTTTTTTTTTTCCTCTCCCCCTGCTATGCCATTGTATCAGACCTTGCTCGGTGCCAGTAATTTCACACTCAGTGTGCTGAGCTGCTGTAACTCACTTTTACAAGGCTTTCTTTTTTTTCGTAGTGGACATCAGCCAAATAAATTGGAGGAGACTGGATCCACTGTGAAAATGACTAATTGCAAATACTGTGCGTGGCATAATGTGTGAGTTTTTCATTTGTCACTTTATTAAAATGTCACTTTTATGTGTGTGTGTGTGTGTGTGTCTGCGTGTGTGTGCAGACGCTTAAGGAGGCCAGTGAAAATGCCAGGAAGGATTTCCACCGTGAGGCCGAGCTGCTGACCAACCTTCAGCATGAACACATCGTCACTTTCTATGGTGTCTGCGTGGAGAGCGACCCTCTCATCATGGTGTTTGAGTACATGAAGCATGGAGACCTGAACAAGTTCCTCAGGCATGGCTCGCCTCTCTTTATTATGTGAAATGTCACCAAAATGGCAGCGGAAGTACTGAAAAATTAGTATTTCTCTAAAATGTTAGCATGGAAACAGGGTGATCAGTAAGCAAAGCAGATGGTACAGTGGACACTTTGCTGTCTTGACAAATCCAACCTCGTCTTTTAAATCCTCTCTGTCACGGATGTAGTATTTTAGATGGATGATTCAAGGCTGATAGCTGAAGCAACACTGCACAGAAAACACAAATTACACAATTTCCCACCTGTTCCCTCGCAGGGCTCACGGTCCGGATGCAGTTCTGATGGCAGAGGGCCAGACCACCAGACCCGTGGAGCTGACCCAGTCTCAGATGCTGCACATCGCCCAGCAGATAGCATCTGGCATGGTCTACCTGGCATCGCAGCACTTTGTGCACCGCGACCTCGCCACCAGGTGCGCCACCTACTCCATTACTGCACGCTGCGTTTAATTGTTTGGTCTTAATGCACACGTCATTATAGATGGAAATTTATACCGACCCTTTTACATTTCATGAAAGACCTGCTAATGACAAAGTGAAAAAACCTTTTAAAAACATTTTTTTCAGATGTAATAAAATGCAAATATCCATTAATGGATAATTTTTTGTTTGGTCATCCTTAACATTACTGTATGTGATTTGACTACACTTGACAAATTCAGTCATTTGGGCATAATTTATAATGCAGAAACCAATGCAGCTCCATTAATGGCCAGTTTGACGACTGACTGATTAAGGAGGTTCAAACAATCAGCCGAAAAGGCACCGTAGCCATTAGAGTAACCAGGAAAGGAAACATTTAATTTATGATTTATTCCAGCAGGCAGGACATTGGGAGCAGCTTCTTATTTGCAATGACAACCTTGCATGTGGTAGAAGACACTTGTAGGGGGAAAAGGAGGACAAGAGAGAGAACAAGCCAAACAAAAAGAACAACTTACAAGAAAGAACGATTAATTGTGTAGATAATATATAAAACAGCAGACATGATAAGACTGTGACTGACTAATTGATTCATTACAACAACAGTGAATGACTGAATGAACTATTGCAATGATTTTAATTACTAGTCGGGTTTCGACCTGTTTATGCAATAAATTAAATTTCTAATTCCTGATTGAACCGGCCAAGTTTGCAAGCTAGTCACATTGTAGAATACGTATAGCTGACGTCTATACCTTTGTGAGATCTGATAATAAATATAGCAGCAACAGTGTAGCTCAAGCCACGCAAAACATCTTTATTTAATCACATCAGCTCCACCTTGTTGTTGTTATCCTCCCGTACTTAGTTTGTGTCTCCCGTCCTAAAGGAACTGCCTGGTGGGTGAGAACCTGCTGGTAAAGATCGGAGACTTTGGCATGTCCAGAGACGTCTACAGCACTGACTACTACAGGGTAGGTGTATGTGTCGATATCTTTTCTGGCCCTTCTTTTAGCCTCCCTCCTCCCCGCTGCATGGGTCCCTCTCTGCTACTCCCCCCTGCATGGGCATGACTGATGGACTCCTGCAGGGTTACAGTAAGACGCCTGCTGTGGTGTAGTGCAGTCAAATTAAACATCCCATCCTGTAAGTACGGGAATAATCAAGGAGAGGGGAAAAAACAATCAACCTGTTTTTGTTCGGTCAGTTTACGTCATGCCATGTGTAATGTAAGTGCTGCGGCAGTTTCTGTCACTGATTTGGCGTTTGTTTGTTGTTTTTGGAATGTAATTTATTCAGCATTCTTTTATTGTACAGGTCTTTATTTTAAATTTAGGAATCTGCTGTAAACTAGACACCTGGCAAACCAGGCAGCTGCATGACAAGTACAAGCACAGTAATTATAATGTTATATTACATAATGGCGGTAATTAGAAGATTATATGCATGTATCGACCAATATTTACATAATTAAATGACTTTAATTCGATTATTTTAGAGCATAATTTGTCATAAAGATAAAACGAACTATTATGACTAAGACATTATAGGAAGAGACTCGGCCTTTAAAGCTGCAGCAGCCAGAAATCTGCAACAGGAAAGACAGAAAAATGTGAAAATATGCAGCCCTCTGCTCTGTTCTAAGCGCCTCCCACCACAGGAGTATGCATTTAAAACCATAGACTGTATAAAAGATGGACGTAGCAACCGGCCCTGAAAAATGAAGCCAACCTGGAAGTGTCCAAAACCTGCAATATCACTACGTCCACTAGCTGCTGGCTCCAAAAAGCCCTGGCTCCCATAGACTTGAATTGGAAAAGAAGTGATCACAGCTCAGGAATTTGTTCTTATTAGTTTTCATAGTCAAATCCAGAGATCAGGTGGCCAATCTGAAAATAAATCAATACTGAATTTTTAAAAAATCGTCAAAATTTTGCGGGGCAAGGGGCGTGGCTGGCTTGATTGACAGTCGGCAGCGACCATACAGACGAAGCGAGCAGAAGGCGGTAAATGTGGGCGGGGCAGAGAGGGCCCGCCTCTCAATCCGTCTGACCAATCGCTGCTCCTATGGCTCCGCCCCCCTCCGACGATTTTTGCGTCACTGGCTCCAAAAATCCAAGATGTCAACCAGGAAGTAGCAAAACCCTGGTTTTATTTTCTCAGTGCAGAAACCAATGGGTGACGTCACGGTAGCTACGTCCATCTTTTATACAGTCTATGTTTAAAACTCACAGTCAAGCTAAAAGTCAACCTCAATTTGTGGCTTCCGTTAGGATTCAACTCCGTGTAACTCAACGCACCACCTCATCCTCTTCTCTCTGTGGATTTTGTCGCTATTTATAAAATGTCATCTAATTGGTTAAAAGCTCCGTGATTGGCTTAAATTTCCTGTCTTGGGCTAAATTTTCTAAAGCCTGAAAACAGAGTCAGGAGGAGGAGGTGCAGAAGTCTGGTTTCCTCTCAAACTACTTTAATTATAACATGCTGAAAGGCTATTGTGAACCTTTTGTCCAGTGATTACAAAAAAAAACAACTAAAAACTAAAAAATATTGCCGCCTACTCCAGCTTTAAAAAATCCTTAATAGAATTCTACAGGAGACTTTCTGTAATGCTAAACATGGCAAGTGTGTGACTCATGTCCCGCTCCTTCTTGCAAAAAGCCATTAGTCTGCTTTGTAACAGCCAAACCGGGAAACATTCAGCCATTCGTGTTGATGAAGGGATGCGAGCACAAAGTAGAATTAAAAGCTGTGGACAAAAACACATTTTAAACCTTATTTTCTAGTAAAGTCACTACATTTTTTAAGCACAACTAGTTTATTAGGGTTGACTGGTGATTCTAGACATGCAGTTTTTATATCAGGGGGACCATTACATTATGGCTCTATCCCCTTTCGTTTGGGGTTGGAACCTGCTCTTGCTCATCCCAAATAACTGTCTGCAGGCAGAGTCACAAGTCTTGTCTTTCAGGATTGCAAGAAAGAGCCACTTTTCTTCCCTGAAAATGCTGAATTTGCCCCAAAATCTACTTTTTACAATTCCTAAAATGCACACCAAGTTGGGTTTGTTGTGAAATATTCAAACAGCAGAGCAGTAACACAACGTGACAAGTAGCATTCTTTTGTGGGGACTTGCGTCGGACTCCGAACCACAGCATCGTCAGCTGCGTTATTTATAATTCAGACTACAGGGCCACACATACAGTAGTGCAGACAACAGATCTTTTCATGCTGCAAGTGCAGGTCAGTGGGATGGAACGGGGACACAATAGCACCCATCTAAGAGGGGATGTAAAAAAAGGACCACTCTGCAAAATAAAAAAGAACGAGAGAAGAAATGAGACTGAATGGCGGTGTACGCTTTATGCGAGTGTGTTGCAGAGATTTAGCAGCTTTGCTTCCACTGTCAAGACAACTCAGGGGTACAAGAGAGTTTGTGAGTGTTTTTTTCCTTCTGCACAGCAATCTGTCACCTTTCCTAAAGTCCAAAATCTAATAAATCGTATAGATTGATCGATAGTGACTGTCCATTTTTCCTGCCCTTTCACCCATCTGCTGTGACAAACTGACATGAGTGACAGTGACAGAGGACTCAGAGGAGGAGAGAGGAGGAGGAAACGAGGGCAAAAGCAGCTATTGGGTGACAAGAAAAATCTCTATTTTGGATAAATAATAACTTTATCGTTCTGAGAGATAACAGCGTCAGATTGATCACTCGGTGATGGCACTACTGACTGATGCAGTTTATGTCTTTATATGCAGTAATTAGTCTGGGAAAGAAGGGTTCAGTGTTGGTATAAGGAACACAATTTTAGGCTTATTAAGAAAAGTAGCTTTTCAGATTATAGCCTGCATTCAGATTTTTGTATTTTACATGTACAATTGTGCATATTTAATTGATTATAGTTCAATAGAATTAGTAAATGACACTGATATTAGATTAGTATTTTCAATTTCTCATGATTAGCAGAGCAAATATTCCATTTTCTTGGCCTTCAATCTTATTTTTGCTTATTTTCCTCAACTGTAGAATGTGTTCGGTGACCTCAGAAATAACCCACAATGTTAAAAAGATCAAAACTACAAGAGCCACATGGCCAGAATCAATCTGTATCCTCCAGAAATGGAGAATTTTACTTTTCATCAGTCCTTTTCTGAGCACTGCCAAGATTTAATTCGAAATGCCTGGTTGTATGTGGCGAATTAAAAATGTAGAAAAGATTAAGGTCTCTCCTCTGTGGCTTTCTTTTGTACTATCTCCGTGTGACGACACACATCAACCTCCCCCCTCCTCCTCCTCCTCCTCCTCCTCCACCTCCTTCCTTTCACCCCTCCTCAATAAAGCTAAGTGCTGAGGCTGTAGTCATGGCAACGGGCGAAGGCAGTGGCGGAGTTGAATCCAACGTTTCTCAGGAAGAAAAGTAATCAGAGAACTTCTGTTTAGTATGCTGAGGCGGTAGTAGAGAAAGAGAGGGGGAGAAAGGAGAGAGATGGAGATGGAGGCAGGAGGGTGGCGAAGAGATGAAAGGAGAGAAAGAGATGGAAAAGAGAGAAGAAATGAGGGAGGGAGGGGGGAGGAAAGAGAGAGAGGGAGGAATGGGAGGCCGGGGAGGGAGAAAACAAGACACAAATAAATATACAAAAAGGAGAAAAAGGGGAAGTAATAGAGCGATAAAGGAACATACGCCGAGGTGGGAGAGGAGAGGTCTGGAGGCAAGGCAGCCTGTAGAGAAGACATGGTACAGGATAGTCAGCGAGAAACAAACAATAGAGGAGCTTTAAACAACCGCCGAGCAGCATATCAGAGACGGAAATGCCAAGAAATGACAAAAAAAAAAAGGACGGAGAGGTAGACAGACAGGAGAGAAAAACAGCAAACTAGAAGATACAGGATGGTGGGAGGTAAAACACAGTGATTCTGCCACGTTTCCAGGAGAGACGGAGGTGTGTGCGTGTTGATGTATTTGTGAGTGTGGTGGTGGTGGTGGTGGGGAAGGAGTGTAGAGACCCAGTCATGCTCTTGCGTCAGACAGGAGCAAAGATGAGTCATAGAAGGATCGGAGCCCCCCCAGTGCTGGTGTACGTGCGTGTGTGCGGGGAAATAGAAGCAGAGGCGTAGGACTGAAGGGGCCGCGGTGACGTCATCGAATCCCCTGTTACACAATGAACCTGACAGGCGTTTCAGAAGACAGACAGGATGCCTCGAATCAAACCTTGAGCCTTTCCACGGGGCCTTTTTTCACTGTGTGTGTGTGTGTGTGTGTGTGGGTGGGGCTCGACTCGCGGTTGTTGGTCGGGGAGGGTGAATGCACACACACACACACACACTCCAGCGAGTTTATTCCTTTTTCTCCCTAAAGTGATTTTATGCCCAAACGTGTAGGATGAAAGAAAATTAACATTCGAGCCCGACTGTTTTACGCTGCTGACACAGACTGGAGAAAAACACTGGCAGCAAAGCAGAGCTAAACAATCTCTGCAGAGTAATTTGCCTGGCCGCTTTTTTTTTTTTTTTTTTTTTCTTACAACCCATCTCTGGGTCCCGACCAACACAGACACACAGCATCCTAATGGAGCACCTGGAAAGACCAGAGAGGAACAGCAGCAGTCAGCGTTAGCAAACAAAACATTTCTGTCTGTAGGACAAGATACGAATCAACAAAACGATGATATTTCTGCCAGATATAAAGTCCAACAGATATCTTTGTTATTATTATCATTAATAATTATTGCTATCATTAAGTGAATAGAAAAGCCACATATTAAAATTACAGTCATGACTCGATAATCCGACCCTTAACAATCCTAAACCTTGTTATCCGACAGGTTTTTAGGAAAAACGAACGGAACCCATGAAAAATAGCCTTAACATACCGACAGCCTTGGATTCTGACTCCAACATGACATTTTATGTCACAAATAAGGATAACAGTGTATTATCTGACTGAACAATCCGACAGATTGGCGACGTTCA